CCCCGCCCCCCCCCCCCCCCCCCTTTCCCCCCCCCCCGGCAAAAAAATCCCTCCCCCGGTCCATGGCGGCGGTTTCCTTTTCCTTCCCCCCTTTCCCTTCCCGCCCGCTTGCCCCCCCTTCCTGGGGGGGTGGGGGGGGGGGGGGGCGTGGAATGGGTACCTAGTGTTGCATGTTGTCACGTCTGACAAAAATGAGGTTCGGAAGGAACGTACATTGGCCACCTTCTGCCGTCCGCAGGGTATCTGAAACAGGCCGTCTTCCGCAATGCTTTCATCAGGTGGTGGGTCTTCTGGCGCGGCTCTTCCAACTAACGCACACCCCCCACCCCTTTCACAAACACAACAGTGTCGCGTACCACTCGTGCTCCCCGAGGGTTGGCAAAAAAAAAATCGCAATCGCATATGGATTGCATATGGTACCTGCCCCCTGAAGTTCAGGAGTTCACGAACAAAACAAGCACTATCCGCACCATACGTATCGCACCTGCTCCTTAAGGATGGTGAAGGAGTTCACAACGAACGAGGCATATCGCATGGTACATACCGTACCTGCTCCCGGAAGATGATGAAGGAATTCTTGACTAAAGAGGCACCAACGCATACACACGTATCGCACCTGCTCCCTGAAATTCGGGAGTTCACGTAACAATAATCACTAATCCGCATCATACATATCGCACCTGCTCCCAGAGCATGGGGAAGGAGCTCACAAACCAAAAAAGTAATATCCCACGTCGCACCTGTCCCCTGAAGTTCAGGATTTCACACAAACAAACAAGGATTATCGCACCCATACATGTCGCATCGCACCTGTTCCCTGAGGATGGTGAAGGAGCGCTCGTGCGTGGCGAGCCCGAGCATGATGAGGTCCGCGTCCAGGCCGTGCAGGATGTGGTGCTGGTTCGGGTCGTAGCCCGGCTGGGTGCGCTGCCGGCGCACGAAGTCCATGATCTTGTGCTCCCCCTCGCCGGGCTCGCTGGCGTCCGACAGTATCACCTTGTGGGACGAGCGGAGGGAGGGGGGGGGGGGGGAGGAGGAGGAGGAGGAGGGGGTGATTAAGAACCAGAGATACTGCTGCCACGGATGAAAGCTGATTGTAGATTGCCATTGTTGCTGTCGATGTTGACATTTCTGTAGGTGTACTCGTCACTATCGCTGCGTTTCCTGTCGTCGTCCTCGTCGTTTTTGCTGGTGTTGCAGTTGTCGCTGCCACGCTGCAATCTGAAGCACTACAGTGGGGAGTCCCGCAAGGATAAAACCTCTTGGCATAGTGGTAGAAAACATTTCTCCTTCGAAAAATGCTGTGGCCCTAGACAAGGCGGCAATCATCAACTGCCACCACTGCAGTATTCGGAGATCTCGGGAGATCCCCACTTGTCTACTGCAAGCACTCACCTTGATGTTCTGCCAGGCCTTGTCGCGGTTGACCCTGTCCTGCACGTAGAACCGCAGGTAGCGGGACAGTTTGTGCATGAACTCCGTGCCCGGGGTGATGATGTTGCTGTCCCACGCAGGCTTTGCCTTGGGCGGCACCTAGTCGGTTCAATCCAACACAGCAGCAGCAGCAGCAGTTTCGATGGTGCGCGATGCACGCGGGCGGTAGGCAGCACGTGGAACCCAAACAACCGCGGTGTCTCCTAGTACCCTTCCACTTGCAGATCGCAAAAAAACACATCCACGTCCAACAGCAACACCATCCACTTCCTCGTACCATAACTGTGCGCGCTTTGAAGGACTGGCAAGCCTGCTCCCACTACTGCTATAGGCAAAATCCCGCAAAAAACAAAAGATAAAATCACCCGACGTGTTCAAGAAAGGATTCCTCGCATGAAAGTCGTCATCGTGAGTGCGGAGCACGAATTCTAAGGATACATCGCCGAAATCGGAAGAGAGCACCCAAGGGAGGAGATCTGTCCCAATTGTATTCGGCCATACTGCTGTTGTTATCGCCTCCAGATTTTCACCGCATGCCAAGGGCGTGCACCATGACGGCGTGCAGACCTCAGCACTTCGTCGCACACGACTCCTGCAACAAAACCCTCAAAACACTTCTTCAGCCCGGCAAAACCTAACGGGATCGAGGACGTTCCCTCGCTCGCGGCTGACTTGACTCCCGCCCCCGTGCCATATTCGGCCTAACCCTAGCGTTATACCTTCACGCCCATCTCCTTCATGGCCTGGCGCGTCTCTTCCATCAGTTCCGCTGCCTCCTCCGCCTCCTGGGCAGACCGAAACCGTCGCGAGCGCTGCTGGTTCATCTTCGCCCTGGGGGCCACTCCGTCGATGGCCAGGTAGAGCAGCCGCCGCGGCCGGACCGCCGAGAAAAGTCTGCCCCCCCGAACAAAAAAAAGTAGAAAAACGCGTTGTTGTAAATTTAGCCCAAACCAACAAAACATGATGGATTTTGTCGTGCTGTGTTATATTTAGAAAAAAAGTAAACAACCAAGCAAACGTTATTGCTCATTCAAGCCCCGTGGGACGCGTTCTTGGCTAGAAGACCGTTACTGTTGCTATGGAAGCCTTTAGAGCCCCCCCCCTCCTACCCCCCCCCCGGATGGGTCCCTTTCAACGAGAGAAGAGGCAACAGGCCCATACAAAGCTGTGCAGAATCTGACGGCGGCGGCGGTGAAACCATTTGTACAGAAGGTCGAGAACAAAATAAAAAAATCCGCTGTGGTTATATCTCGAACGGGTAGTCTCTTTTCATTGTACTTGAAGTATGTGTATTTCCCAAACGATACATGGGTGTGGGATGGCGGGGTGGATACGGATAAGGGGCGACGGATACTAGGAAGGAAGAGGGGCGGGGGGGGGTACACAACATACATACCGGTCGATGTAGTCCATGATGTTCTTGTACATCTCCTCCTCGCTCTCCGGGGGGGGCTTGTCCTCAGGGTGAGAGCAAGGGTGGATGATGCCGTTCATGTCGATATACAGGTTGTCGAACTGAAAAGAGAGGGTTGGCAGACAGGCACGGCACGAGAGACACGCCAAGCGAAGGTGGCGCGACAAAAATGGGTGTCAACGGGTGTCGAAGACGGCGCTCCCAAGAGGGTCGACCATCTCCATAGATTACCCGAAAAAAAGTAATATGTATATCCTGGACTCATGTGATGATCGAGATGAAATTGTTTGTTCTTTGCAAGAGACCAAAGACCGAGAGGGAGCAGCTGTAACTTGAGGATGGCGAGACGTTGGTAGTGCTCCAGAGCTGGCTACCCGCGGAGGGGATGCAGCAGCAGCACGGCGGGATGTGTTCTCGGGAAATGAACTACCCCGGCCAAAATCTGGGCGCGCCCGTTTACACGATTTCGGTTTTCGGTACATGCCCCCCGGACGGTTGGACGGTGTGTACCTTCTCAAAATCATAAAAACAAAATCTAAAATCTTGAGCGTGAGGCATCGTGCGAGGAGTTGACGAGTTGATCCAGATCGCGCCTGATGTTCCGAGTTCCGAGCTTGTGGTGAACCGACAGCAGTTGCTGTTGTTTTCTTTTTCCTTCTCGCTATGCATACGCCGCTGCTCGCGAATGCGCAGAAACAAGAGAATAGAGTCCCAGTGGGGGAAGAGACGCACTGATCGCACGCGAGCTACACACACACGGGCGGGGCGGATATTGCGCGTTGATTGTGTGAAACTAGGGTGCCGCCGTTGTGATACGGTGCGCAAAAGAAGTACCGGTTGGGGAGAGTGGTCGCTATGCAAGTAGGTCGCACAGGCGGTCGGATCAACGCGAGGTACAGGAACGTTCGACCCCAAGGACCAACACAGCAGCAGCGGTGTTCAAGTGCGTAACACACAACGGCCGCCCGTTGTGAACCATCGCGCATCGTTGCCGTAGCGACGGAGAGGCTCATGGCCTGGTACTCTTTACTAATAGGAAAAGGTTAGGCGGTGCTACCGCGATGCCGGTTGTTGTGCGGGATGTGAGCCACACAGAGAGAGAGGCTTCCGCGTTAAACTAAACAGCAGGCAATGTTCGTCGAGAGCTTTGCAAATCCATGGTACTATCGTTGTAGTAGCAACAGATGACGGCGGAAGCCAGTGCCCCTCCTGCTGCTGCTCCTGCTGCTCTCTATTGGGCAGGCGCCTTGGGTTGCAACTACACACTTGTAGCTTGTCGGTGAATCGTGCGCGAGCTGCATTCTCTCTCGAGCTTGGAGCAGAGGCAAAAAAGGGACGATGTACCGCACACCCCGCCTTTCCCCGCACTGCCTCCGGACGGAAGCCTTGGCTCCCTCGCGGAAGTCGAGAGAGGAGGAGCAAAAACATGGTACCGTCCCCTTGCAAAGCAGCCAAAGGTGTCGTGTACGCACCTCGATGCCATTCGGGTTCTCCGCCGTGAGGTCGAGGGGAATCTCCGTCCCTTCCACCCGAGCCGCGTGGTCCTCTAGCATGTCCACCACAATCTTCGGATACTTCTCGCTCAGCCATCGGTAGAACGCCGGGACTCCCATCGTCCTCCTCCCTCTTCGGCCTCCTCGCCGCTGCCTCTCTCTAGCGCCGCTGGTCTGCCGTTGCCCAAGCAAGCAACCACAGCACAGCGCGCACGCGACACCCAAGACGCAGGGGCCCCTCAGATGATATTCGAATAGGGGTATGGTACGTACGTATGTGAGTTTCCACACGGCAAGTAGCTTGAGTTTTGGTCGATTGTCACACAAACATTCTCAACAACATGCGAAAACGCGATAGCATGAAACAAAACTCGCGTTGGCACCACTAGAAGGCACACGTATGCTACAACGTATGTACCTCCAAATACCTCGAGATCTTGTCTAACATCATCACTCGCTGAGAAAATCGGAAAAATTGAAAAATTGCCGGCGGAAAGAATTTTTGATCGATAAAAATAAAGTTTTTGTTAGTTCGTTCTACGTTCTACGCGTTGACCGCCAACACAACCCGCAGCGACTGACGCGGAACACGCGTACAAGGGAGCTGTTGTGACAAAGACAGCCTATTTTTCATCTGTAGAGAGCGGGCCTGTACTACTCTTTTCTTCCTCTTCTTGAAGGCTCTCGAGGAACCACTACATACATGGTGAGATAGATACCTCTCGTCGTTCGTGGTGTTTTTCTCCCGTCTCGAAATCTTTGTAGAGTGTATAGACTAACGTGCATCTCGCGGTCGCTTTGTAGAGTGTAGACTAACATGCATTCTCGCGGGCCACACTCACAGGTACGTACCTAAAGTCTAGGTTTTCCAAATTCTATTTTGCCATGTATGTGTAGCTCCGGCGGGGCTCTCGGCGACGTACGATCGAAAGCCGCAAACAGTGGCGGCTACAATAGGCTCATCATCATTCTCTGTGAAGATAAGATAGCCTCGGACGTGCAACATCACGGTTTAGTTGAGCGCACCGCAAACATACGTGATGTGATCTATTCTCCTTGGTTGGTGGTTTTGTGGGTTCCAGGAGAAGCGGAGAGCACCCACGAGCAGCGGTACACATGCAATACCCGTTTGGCATCAAGGGCTCAAGGGCGGCATCGCGGAATGAGAAGTGTCACGCGGTATAGACATCCCGGCTAAGAATGAAGCCAGCAGACACATCATGGCTTATTCCAACAGAAAGATGTGCGAACACCAATCGTGAATTCTGGTATTATTTGCCCGCACACGCGTCGGGTGTGCTTGTTTTTTTGGGTACCGCAGCTGATTTACCTGGTACTACTGCAGTAGAAGTATATTTTTCTGGTGCCGGTCGGTTTACATGTTGGAGTTAGATATTGTTGTTGTTTTATCGCTATATATTCTCATGCCCCATCTCTCTCTTCGTTGTGCTTGCTGTATTGAATGCTTCTTGTTTCTCGGGGGGTTCTCAATCGCTCTCACACGCACCTTTGTGGTCTTCTGAGCAACCACAACCCGTGATCGTTGTCGACAGCAGCCGCGGTGCCTTGCGTTTGCTTATTGTTAGGTTCGGGGACAAGTCTCTTTTTTCTAAAGAGTCTAGACTATTTATCTAGTCTACTCTTCTTACCTCAGCAGCGCTCCCACATAATACTAACCAATAGCACCGTCGCACGCACGTGTGCTCCTGGAGCAATGTCAAGGTCTCAAAGTGAGACCAGCGAGCACCTCCGTTGTGGTATTTGGACCCTTGGACTAAGATACCATCTGGGCGGGTATATCTTTCAGGAATATCCCGACCACCTGCCCAGGTTCCTAGTATTCCGACTTTAGGCAGGTAGCAGTACAATGGTTACTAGCAGTAGCAAGCGATGTGCAAGCGTTCCACCTTGCTCATTGTCTTGCCTGGTGTTCCCTGGTGTTCCCTGGGAGTGAGCGATAGCGAGCGACTGAGAGAGAAAGGAAGGACAAGGAAGGAAACAGACTGAAGAAGCGAAGCGGCTCCAACCTGCACACAGTGGTCGGACTAGCTCCACACTGAACCCGCGTCAGAGATCGTCACATCTCGTCACACACCTCCGTACCCCCACGGGTGAGTATATTAATTAATTCAGACCGACCGGTGTTCGAGATATTTAGCCACAACAACCAGTCGAAATAAAATGAAAGTTTGTTGTCGAAGACCAAATAAACTGCTGACTGACTAGGGTCTCTCTGAGGTAGCGCTCGCCGTTGTGCTTCTTGGTGGAGGAACTCTTTGAGTCCTCCGATTTGGGGATTTTCTAGGCGGGCGGCGCGTCACGAAGGTCAACGGCTGAGCTGTGCCGTCCCGTTTCGCGGTCAAGTTGCGTGCAGGGTGCGTATCGCACAGTTCTGTGTTGGTAATATAAGCGTAATGCACAACATCGGACGACCCGACGGGTTGTACTGTTGTATCCCGAAGCAGATATCGCACGACTTCGAATTGGGTGTTTTCTGAATGGTAGTGCGTACCATTGGGAGGCTCAATCGTCCGAGACTGCTACTGTGCAACAGTTTCGTCCCGTCTGGTAGTATTCGGAGGGAGATTTTGTGTTTTAGAAGCAGAGACACGTTAGGATACCGCAGAGGCTTTGTGCCGTGCGGAACGTGTGGTACGGGGGATGTCTCCCTCCGTAGGCCACAGAAATACTAGTCAAGGCAATTCGAAAGAAAACAATAAATGCTTTGTTGTACCGACTGCGGACGCAAGAACTTGCAGAGGGATTTGGGGGGGGGCGAAGGGGGGGTGATGATCATGCACGCACCAGGGTTGATCGCATTCGTACGCACAGACAGATCGATGTACATGAGGTTGTGGTCGGAAGCAACAACAACTAAGAGTCAGAGCAAGCCTAAATTTGAAATCCGCGAAGCGCTATGAATGTATGTAGACTACGCCTTCATTATGTCGGCATTGGCACGCACCCAAAAAACTCTCAACGTCTTCACTTACGAATACCGCCCTTCCTTGCATTCAACCTTTTCTTTCTTTTCGTCACCGTCATGCTCGCTCCTCAGACCTCGCAGGATGGGAATGCGACCAATCAGAGCGCAGGGCGGCTAGGCCATGCAATCAGGGGACGCTGCCCGTGAGAGTAGTTGTGGTAAAAGTGGCGTCGGCGCTTGCAACACCTACTTTGTGTCTTCTTTGTTTTCCTGACTTCACAGACTGCCGTGCGCAAGATCGCCTTGCTTGGCTCTTGTCGGCACAAAGTGCCACCAATCGAAACGGTGTAGTAGGTGCTTTCCCGCCCATGAATGCCGGTCCAGGTAGAGAGCATTGTGTCCCCACCCTTTGTTTGCAGACTGCGGTCATAACCGCGATTGTGTGATGGGTCCGTTTCAAGAACCCTCCCTTAGAATCACAAAGTCGGAGCATGTCGTTCATTGCCGAGAGGTGCTCGCGTAGCCTTGGAGTTCCATCTCCGCCAATTGGCTTGGCACGGGGGGAGTGGTTCCAACTTTCGTCCTTGTGCTCTGGTTGGTCGCATTCCCCCCTCTGCGAGCTCTGATGATTTAGCATGGTGACGAGAAGAACGGTTGTAGGTGGCCTTGTAAGTTGAGGCATGGAGAGTGTTGCTGGGTGCGTGCCGATGTCGTCGTGATGAAGACGTACTATAGCGCGTCGAGGAGTTCAAATTCGGGCTCATGGTTCTCTGCTCCTCGATGAGAAAAATCCAACGCACACAAGGGAGAGTAAATACTTGCAGTCGACGGTGACTGCGTTAGTCTACCACCGGCACGGTTATTTCGACACTGCAGGGGGCGTCGTGAAACTCAAGTACCGCCGTATGCCGCAGGTCTCCTGGTAGTTAGTTGCCCACAACTTGGTTGGATGGAAGTTCGAATCAAAGCACGTAGCTCTCGCGGGCCTGGCGTCGTTGGCAAGGAAAAATCCGCATGATTGCTCCAAACGACACACAGAGTAGATTCATCGGCAAGAAGAGCTGCAACGTGTGACTTCCGACTGTTCTACTCAAAAAGCAGCAAGAAATCACGAGTCACATGTTCGGCTGCATGCTTTTCCAGGAAATATCCAAGACCGCTACACACAGAGCGTGTCGTATACATGTCTTGATTGCCCCTTATGCACCATTGACCAGCATCGAACAGGTCGGGCGGAAGACTCCCACGACCGCGTCGGGGCTCGTCGCGCCCACTGCCACTGTGGGCGTACCTCCGGCATGGTCTACGCCGCAATCCGCGGGCGCCCCCAGCACCGCGGCGGGCGTGGGTTACGTTTCCTGCGAGGAGAAAACAACAACCCCGGGTCCGTGGTGAACAGCCCAACGTCGTGGCCTGGGTCCGACTTCAAGCTCGAAGGGTTCCAGGCTGGCTCGGTGTACCTCTGGGCCTGCGGCGAGCGCGACCAAGACGATGGTGAAGCTCCGGTGACCGTTCCCGAAGCAGTGGCAGCCTGGGTTATCCTGTTGGTGAGAGGAAAATGGACCTCCTCATTCCTGATTCATACATGTAGATCGTGTACATTCTCGGTGGGTTGTGTATTTACGTACACCGGCAATTCGTGTATGCAGGTTGTCGACATGCCCCCCCCCGCCCCCCCCAGGTGTGGAAGCCCGCATCGGAACCAAGTGGACGGTGTGCCTGTACCCCGACCAATGAGCAAGCGGGTGTGTGCGGCCGAAACAAACGAATGTAATAGTAGCACAGATTCCAGGGTCCCGTGCTTGAAGTCGCCTCGCGCAACCAGCTACTGAGGCCAGGCCTTTCCTCTCAGCGACGCCACCGATGGGTACCAATGAGGTTGATCGAGCCGGGGTTCGTTTTGAAACGGGTCCGCACCGCACGCAACCAACCGTGCAGCATACGTACGGTTACAAAAACGTCAGGACCGCCAATATCGTCCCCCGAAAGAGTTTGTAGCGCAACCGCAACAGCCCTCTCGCACTCTCGACCCGCGGGCGCCTTCGCCCCTTCTTTGAGCAGACTCAAGCGATATGCTACGCCCGGCTGTGGTACGTCGGTGGAAACGAATTTACCGACAGCGACACCTCGTCCGAGACCATCGACTACTCAATGCTGGCCATAGCAGTGTCCATGTACTTGCTCTTGTCGATAGCGGTGGCGGACCTGTGCGGAGGCTGTGCGCTCGTCGTGGAAGGACGCGGCTCCGGCGATGAGTTTGTGTGGTTTACGGGACGGAGGCTGTTCGGCGTGTTCCTGGTGGCGACGTTGCTCACGCTAATCGGGGCCTCGGTGCGGGTGCTGTTTTTCTCGTCCGAGGACAACGTGAACCTTGTTATCGGGGCCGCCGCCGTCCTGTTCATCGCCGACGTGGTAAGTTCCACGGCGTATGATTATATTGCGATGCATTTCCAACACTCACTGCTGCGTCGGTCATGCGCGGACCCCGAACAGGTTATGGCACGATCACGGCTGGCTGGTGACCCTACTTGTGCAGAGAAATAACCCGAACGTTCACCGTTCACCGTTCACGCAAAGGACTTCCTTGTAAGTGATGCATGCATCGAATTAAAGGTCGCATGTGTCCGATCAATGTGTATGTGCACCCGAACTGCAGGATAGCCGAACCCTCAGGGCGAGACGCACGTACGGCTTCCTACATCACTTACGTACGCCAGCGCACCCTCGGCTTACGTCGTAACACGCTCGTTGTTGTCGCGTTCTATTTTTTCGCAGGACGAGAAGGCCCACACCGTGCTCAAAAACGTTTCCGGAAAGTGGCGCCTGTTTTGGGTGCTTGAGGTCATTGGTATGAGCTTCGTTCTAGCGACCTTTTCCGTGAAAGCGACCGGAAACGATGGCCGAGTTGCTGGCAGAGAACCTGACAGAGCCGCTTGCGCTGCATGGACGGACGGGGACGACTGCGACATTTTCACCTGGCCGTATATTTTTCTTGAGCTGCCTTTGACCGTGACGGTGTGTGCGTTGCTGATAACGAGCGAAGTTTCGGAGCCGATTTCGCCCATCCATGTGCGGAGGTTTCACGATCGACCTTGTCAATGGAGCATGTTTTCGTTGTTGGCGCTATGCTGGGTATCAATGCCCTACTTTTGGAGGTGGACAATAGTTTATGCGCTGGTTATTGTCTTGTTTGTGGTGGTTGTGGCGTTGGTCATCGCGTGCCGCTCGTTTCGAGAGTTGTATCGGGCTTTCACCCGAGGAGCCGAACGATTTAGCGCAACTGACAAGCGCCGGCGGTTCTACCTTTTTTGGGCCGGAATGGTAGTCCAGTTGCTGTGGGTAACCCTCGACGCAATATCTTTCTCGTTGTCCGACGATGACGAGGACGATGACTCACACTTTTTCCCCGATAGCGTGTATTCACCTGCGGTGAACGCCATAATCACTCTCGACACGCTTGTGCTTTGGCTATTTATTCGTGGTGGGTTTGTGGAATGGGATTGATCAGCGAGGGCCCGTCGAGGGATATCGCCATGGACCCCCCTGTGCAACCAATGCTGTTGGGTTGGGGGCTCTATTACGGAGTATTGATCGTGCTGCTAATAGTGCTCGGATCGATTGGATACCCTCCCGGCCTTCGCTGGCACTATGGTATATTTTGCCGAATGGTTGGTCTACCGTTGCTGGGTTATCGTGATAGGGACATGGGTGTGGAGAGCGGAGGGAACAAATATGTGGCGTACTGGATTGCGGCTTCGGGACTTGTTCGCATGATGAGCTTATGTGTGGCAGCCTGGGTTGACGCGTGGAAAGCGTCTGTATTGACGTGACGCTGCTCTTTTCATAGATTACTACTGTACAAGCAAGCATGTCCAAGGTACAGTCAAGCATTGCAACTTGTGCGAAGTTTAATAACACGGCGTCACGCCGATGCGCCCGGCGTATTTCAAGGGAATGCGTGGACGTATCGGTTTCAATGCGCCGTTCGACTGGGTTAACCCAAGGTCTCTGAGGAATGGCGAGCACGTGACTCTGGGCGCACGTTGCAAGTTGCGGGTACTCATTTTTTCCAAGTGAGTGCGATGGCATTGAAGCAAGGGACAAAATCGTGGCCACAGAGGACGTTTTCGCGAGAAGTACGAAGCATGGCGGTACACGGGGGTTCCATTTTGGAGGCGGAGAGGTCCATGTCTCAAAAACCTGGAGGAGGCTAGCCAGTTAGGGGTGGGACAATCGAGCTGAAACCGAAGCTGATGGCGAGCCAAATACAATATTCACGGAGGGGGGTGGGTGGCGGAAGATAGAGAGAGATCGAGAGAGAGAGAAAGCAGGGCGGCCGGGAGAGAGAGGCAGCTGGAGGCTGTTCTTGGTTCTGCTTGGTGTTCGTTGCCAATTTCCAATTCTTACGTTTGTTGCTATCTTCGTTTTACTACAGTATATTAGCGGCTTGTTTTCGTTGAGGATAGGGGATGTGACCTGGTGACTGTGTTTTTAGGGCGGCCAACCTCTTGCGTTTCGTTGGTACATAGCCGTATCCTCTCAGACGACGCCTCCCTTTTTGGCGACAGTAATATTATACAGCCATTCGTACCGCCCCCGCACCCTAAAGCTTTTGGTGTGTGGGAGACGTCTGGCTGGTATCGGCGACAAACTCGACAGACAACCAAACGTGGATCCAGACAACTCTCTGTTGAGAGGTGTACACGTTGATTCAACCCCACGGGCGGAGCGAACCGCTGTCTTGCATGATTGCGCGACCATTCTTGGTATGTATGCCCTTGCATTGAGTTGGGGCTGCTTCTCACACCTCCAGGGCGCGAGAGCAACAATTGGATGATGTCATATTTTATTCCCGGTTTATAGGGCTGCGAGGGTAACTCGGGTTATTGAGCCATAACATTTCTTGTCAATTGTATCGGTCCTCCCCGCATGTAGTAGTTCCCAAGTGATCGTAACAACAGTGGACTCTGGCTGTTCCTTTATGGTACCCACCTATTGCTCGTTGTAGATCAGCCGTGAGATGCAGAAATGGCACCCACCCCCCTACTCTGTAGACAGACTTTCAAAGCTTTATCACTCCACACCGAAGGGGGGGTAAGGAAAGAGACAGGTAATTCCACCGAAAGCCCTCGACGAGATCCTTCCAAAACCACGATTTTTGGCGTTGGCACAATCAATCTTGGTTGTCGATCAATCGAGCTTTGGAAATCGACGTAGGGGGGGTGCCATCTCTCCGCCCATTACGGTAGTCAGTGTCTCCGCCCATAAGGGCAGTCCATGTCTTCCGGGGATTCTCCCGTAGGTACCCTTCTTTGCCCTTTGATCCTAGAGGGAAAGGAATAACAATAGTTTAGTGTTGAGGACTATTACTCAGATCGTTGGCATGACATATACCGGTATTTTTTTGGACATGTACGACTTTGGCTCGACTATGCATATATCTTGTTGGGTAGATACTTGTAGCCCGCGACGATTGGTCCCCGGGGGTGTCGTATCTTACACCACGAAACGGCGTGTGCTGGGATTGAATGCACTTTATCATGCTATATATTTACTCACAGGATGTTGCACCACATTAGACTTGATTTTAGAGTGGACCCACGTGGGCGCGATTGCTTTTTCGCCACGCGATCCCACGCGACGAGCCACTCGTGAATCTGCGAAGAACCTAATTGCTCTTCCGTGTAATGAGGTGGTACCCGTGGAAGAACTCAGCTGTTCCAGGCAGCAGTACGAACGTTGACAGCAATGTTGGATTGCGATCACGTGACGACCTTGCTGGTGACTTTACCAACGGTCATTGTACTGTTTCCAACTGTACAACCACATCCAGTGCGTCGGCGTTCACCTGTCTGTCTGTTCTCTTCATTTATCAGACGCACACATGTATGTATGTGTCATCTACAACAAACACCAAAATCCTATGCAGAGAGACGCGGACCACTGCTGCTTGCTGAAGACAACAAAGAGCGCATGTGGATGTATGTCTGTTCCCACCAACTTCCCGGTTTCGGTCCGGTGTTGGAAACATATTGCATCCGGCTTCCTTCGAACGTTCCACATACATACCACACGCGCTTATTATGCCGACGACATATACATGCTGCAAGCAACATGCATCCTACAGTATCAACAACATTCAGACGTTACCACTCACTGCTGTACACTACAAAAAACGCGTCGTTGTGTCCACACATGAGCACCCTGTCATCAAGCTGTGTTTTCCTACGTGTGTCTTGTCATCCACAGGAACGGCGGATATGACAAGCATAGACTATTCGTACAGCAATCATAACAACCAAACATCATCATGATCTTCCGATCAATAGCATTCAAACATCATTTATTTGCAAAAGAAACACGGGAGGAATCCCATCCGATCGGTTCACAATAATCAGGGTGATGTCGGTTCACAATAATCAGGGTGATGTCATTATCCTTATTCGTGCCCATGGGCACCCATGGGTATGGGAACCCATGGGTATACCCATGGGTACCCATGGGCGTGGGTACCTATGGGTAACGACGGTGGAAATTGCAAAACTCCCTCTGTTAGATGTATGCGTACGTACTCCTGGTTGTGGACACTTTGGGTTCGGCACCCGGAATTTTCTTCCTCTCGGCAGTCACTCTCTTTCTCGGGGGCACACAGCGGGTAACGCGATGCAACACTGCGCATGGCTGGTTTACTCGTAAGCCATTCACCTGCGGCGCCTGTCCTTACCGTTCAACCTCGGGTAAACTGGATGCATACCTGCGCTATGCTTACCGCCCATGACAAAGAAAGGCGATGATCCATCACCTAGCAACATATTGAAGGCATAACTGACGGAGGAAATGTGTATATACGAAGTGTAAAGATCGCACGTATTTCAAGCGGAAGGTCATCAGCTACCAAGGGCAGGTAGTCGGAAACGCTACTCTAGTCAGATGGCATTATGGTCAGGGTCGCGTCCCCCCCAGCGAAGGGGTATCGGGGGCGCTTGAGGGTTAGCGCCCGTGAGTTGCCGCCCCGGTCGCAGTTTACAGCCTTGGTGTACGTACCAACAGCGAATAACTCGACTCTCCGCTTTGGTTCATGGTCACAACTTGTACATCATGCTGATTCCATTGCTGCTGCCGCCCCAAGCGTCACCGCAGAGTCCATCGACAGCACCGTTGGCCTTTTAGACTTTGCGGCGGGCACGGTGATACGCTGCGCAGCAGTTCAACTAGGCTGAGCGTGTGCACCCAACTTTGGTAATAACGTAGATCATGTGTGTGATTGTTTGGGGTTGTGTCGCAGTGTACGGCGAATGGAATAAGTGTGGTTTGTTGTTTGGATAAAACAAGAAAAAAAAAGGTAATATAAATGCTCGTGGTAGAAAATATTTATTCGTGAGGGGCCTTGTCAACGGAGGGTTCTATGCGCCTCATCTTCCCAAAGATTGCTTTTGTTGTCCTGGGCACTCTTGTCGTCGTCCTCGTGCAAGAAGAGGCGGGAGTCCGCTGGCACAACCTCTCACGGAGGTTTGCAGCCACGAACAGTGTACATGGAATGACGTGTCGCAACACCTCGTGCGTGAAGCTGTGGGTCAAGTTTTCCTCGTGACCGGCTACAAGGCTGAACCACGTGCTTTGGTACTTACAAGGGACATCGAACGCTAAATTACTTGTAATACGTGCTGTTCGTTGCCGTACGCAGGAGCTGCCGACAAGGATTGGATATTTCTTGTCCACACACCGGTGTTAACCCCCTCCTGTGTAGCCTTGGATGGTTGTAGTTGTACGGAAAAACGATACTGAAAGTGTACATTTTATTACTCTGCGTACAATGAAAAGTGTCGTACACGTCTCACGACGAAAATGGGAGTACTGTCGCCATACCAAGTTGGACGCCACCAATAGAAACCTGGGAAGGCCGTGCAAAAATGGTCATGTACGTACGTGGTTGTCGTCACCTTGAAGCCTCTCACCGAAAACACACCCGCGGACGCTCTTGCCGATACACGGTATACATACGAGAACATGGCAACAGGTAACGACCACTGAAAATGAAGCAGGCAGCCGCAAGGATGTTACTTCCATTGTTGCAGAGAATACCTTGGAGGACCCGCTGATGGTAGTAAGTCGTTCCATACTTCGATTGAAAACACTAAAGACCTGCGAGAGAGAAAAACCCATGAGGACCCGATGATGGTAATAAGTCGTTCCATACTTCGATTGAAAACGCCAAACAACTGCGAGAAACAAACGTGGCACAACACGAACGACTGAAGTCCCACAAAGAAAACAAGGGAATACCCCGCGTCGGAACATGCACGGGGCGCCATTCGTAAACCTCTTCACCCCACCGTGCCAGAGCGAGCTCGAGTGCCCTGGTCTACAAAACCACGATCATTCATCACGAAGTATGGAGCTGGCCACCACCAGGCATTTCCCCGCATAGTACTGCGCGCTTCAAGTGTTTATCCTTTCAACGAGTCAAAGATGCACCTCTAAACTGAACCCTCTTCAGCGACCTT